ACGGGAAGTACTTAAATAAATTGTTCGGATTTATTCCAGCCGCTAAATTCCACGTACCATCCACACCATCTGGATGTTTGGCGGTACACCATAACTGTGCAATTTACTAGAAGTTTTCTTTCTCGCAAAACTTTTTTGTGGAATCATCTACCACTGGCGATGTTTTCTGAACCGATACGACTTAGAGACCTTCATGAGCATACTACTTTTAAAAAGACCGGCAACGCACCTGCAATTTCCCTGGTGTTGCAGTTATTTGTGGGCGATGGTCGACACTTACTATCATGAAAATTTTATTTAATGTGAGCGAAACCATAGGGTGGAAAGCTAGTAAAATATAAAAATATCGTAAATGTATCTCTGGATCTGGATCTGGGTATTCATAGTCCTCCAGCACTGCATCAACTTTTTTTTTACATAATCACTGATTTATCAAACAAAACTAATGTTTTTCACCAAAACCTATCTATAATTATTATGTTTTACAATTGCGTAAGGAGACAACAAACGTGTTTAGGTATTCCTCATCTTAAAAATATACAAAATATAAATAAAATCTGATAATACTTTATACGTGGTAAAGCCATAATGCAGCTATATTATGGTTATAGCACGAATGGGTCAGCTCGACTAGGGAAGGACCACGCACTCACAAAATACCAGCGTAAAATAATTCGTTTGGTGAGTGTAGAGGACCAGAGATCTTTTTTACTGGATACGAGGCATTCTATATTAGTCCTCAGGGGTGGCAACGCATTGCATTGTGATACTTAATCGTAGATGTCTATGGGCCACAGCATGCACTTACCAACAGTTGGAACACGTGCTCGTTTGTCACGCTTATTCTATAAAAAAAAAAAATTCAACGTTCATACTAATTAAACTGCTGGTCACAGTGAAAACACACCTTTTGTTTACGCTTTAACTTATTACTGACATTACTTTGGAGCTAATACAGTGCGCATTTTGTTGCTTATAAATCCTACAGGTGTTACACTGCATCATACCTGTATTTTATCTGTAGAAATAAATTACTAATACCACAAAATAAAGGATTATGCTTGACGATTACGTTTGAGTGTAATAGTGTCTTTGAATGAGCTTTATAGAAAGCTCTAAAGACAAATCAAATTTCTTTAATATTTAAAACCCCTAAAATGTCACCCACCCGGAGTCATGCCGCGCCCTTGCTAGCCAATGTATACAGCTGAACAGATGGTATGTTTCAAATTCAGTTTACACTTTTAATTTTGTCCTAGTAGTGCTGTCGTGTTTAATATATCATATAATATGTAGATGTAGACTAGATGGTAATCTATAGTCATATTACTATCATAGCTTATTTTATTATAATTAACAAATCAAAATTACAATTTATATTTAAATTATATAAAATAAACAACATTTTTTTAATTATTTTAGTGATCTAGTAGTATAAGAAAAATAAGAACTTAAATTTTAAATTGTCCAAAAATAAGATTTACCTAATATAAATTGTGATACTTAGTAATATTAGGACCTATGAAATTGCCGTTTTATAATATATAAATAAGTTAATGTATTTTTTTCTACATTTTTTATTTCTATTAATGACTGCCAACGTAGTGGTAGTTTATTGGTGCCCTTTTTGAAGAAATCAGCTGGACCGGAGGCAACAAATTCTTCAAAGGCATTTGTACTGTCTCTCGGGTTAATATTGAATATTTTTCCCGCCAAAAAGTTATCCAAATTCTGGGAAAAAATGTCTGTAGGCGTATGCTCTGGTGACTACGATGGAAGACGGAGAGCTTCTAACCCCAGCTATTGTCACTTGCAGACCGTCTGTTGTGCAGTATGAGGTCGCGCGTTGTCGTGCAGAAGCGCGGGGACGATCGATTGACCAAAGCTGGTTGAAGACTCGCGAGCTTCTTTATCATTGTGGTCAGTTCTTCACAGAAGCTGCGATGAGACACTAGGCCACCAAACAGTGACATCATTTTTCTAGGGGTAAGTTTTCGTTTAGGGCATTGTTTAGGTTGCGAACCAGGATCCAACCAACTTGCTGAGCGCTTGCGATTGTCAAACAGAATTCATTTTTCGTCGCAAGTAACAATGCGGTTCAAAATTCCTTCGTTTCTGTGCCTGTCGCCTTTAATTCGTCTTTGTCGATTAGTTTTTGGACGACCACTAGGTTCATTTTTGAGGTCGGAATTTCCAGAACAGACACGGGCAAACCAATAACAGGTGATGGCGTTCGTTTGTGGTATTCGCTCCGTAAAGGTCGTTGATGTTGCGTGTCGCTTGTGTCGCGTTGCTGCCACGACGGTACTCATACTCCATAATTACTCGAATTATTAACGTATCCATGATAACGAAAAAGATTCAAATGCAATGAAAACATAACGCTAATCAATAAACGAACGACTTATAAGAAAAAAAGTCCATATTTTTAAAATTAAATTAATTTGAATTTAGAATTCTTAACCAAACAAAAATTATTTTGATTTGAAATGACCAGTTCTGCAGAGCGGCCATTTCATAAGTAAAGACCTATTATATTATATGTTTTGCCCATTTGCAGTGTTTTTTTACTAGAAAGCTTTGGAAAATTTAAAAGTAAATTATGGTTATTCTAGTAGATTGAAGACTGAATTAGAATTAACTATAAATTATAAAAAATAGGATTACATATTAAAAAATAGTTTCGGCTTAAGAGTAATTGACAACAGAATCGCGTTTTCAAATTCCAGTCAGGGCACTTTCCTGCTTTTTAAGGTGTATCTAGAATAGTTTAGCTGTTATCTTATAGCACAAAAGACCATGAAGCAAATACAAAGAGGAGACGTTGTAATTAAATTTCACTATGTAACAACGCGTGACAATTTGCGGGGTGAGGGGATGCAAAGCCCCGCCCACTTTACACTATCTGCATCTACCGATAAATAGTAAAACTACTCGAATCTTTCTATATCGATGTTGCAATGTAGCTTAGCTACCTTGACGGTAGATGGCGGCATGTCCACAAAATGTTATAAACTATAAAAATAATATTTTGGCGATTAAAATTTCTTTATGAATGCAAAACAAATTTCAGCACCTTCGTATGATTATTTTATCATTACCGAGCTCTACGTACCTTTATATTTTTAGTTCACAGGACACAAAGTATCGCCATCTAGTGTGGAATATATTTAATTATATTTGAAAGCCGACGTAGAGATTTTTATAGAACTATTTTAATAAATTAGGTGTAAAATTACTTACAAATGAAATGTGATGCCATCCATAGCATCGGAGCGTCTATCTCATGAAGCAAATACATTCAGACAAAGAAAATTTAATCGCCAAAATAATATTTTTATAGTTTTCATAATAATTTTGAGAACAGGCCGCCATCTATCATCAAGTAAATCTCATAAAAAATAACAAAAAGACAGGGCCGCAATTAGAATTCAATTATTTTACCCGGTAACCCACTATTCAATATTAAAATGAAGGAAATTGTACTTGGCTGATTTTTACGAAATGTTTAAGTTATATTTAAGTGACATTCTATATGCAAAGAATCACTTAAATACAATTTAAATATGTCATTTCGTGAAAGTCAACCTTCAAGAAATATTTATTTTATCCATAAAATAAGGTATCTTTGAAACTAAATATTCTATGTTCAATATTAAGTACGATATTTAATTTGGAACTAAATATCCTACTTATCTCACTAATATTATAAAGGCGAAATTTTGTGTGTTCTTTCTGTCTCCTTGAGCTTATTCCACACTAAGTATGTACTGTGTATGTGTAATTTTTTCACACAGAAACGGCTGGACTATTATTTATGTGTGGGTTATACTACTTAATATCTCTGAGGGAGAACAAATAATAGACAAATTATTATAATTAATATAATTTTATTTACAAATCAATTAAAATATAAATATTTTATTCCAAATTAGGCATCCGAATGCACTTTTTGAATGCCAATCTAAGAACATTAAATTGTATTTAAGTGATTCTTTCATATAGAATGTCACTTAAATATAACTTAAACGTTTCGTAAAAATCAGCCTAAGTACAATTTCCTGCATTTTAATATTAAAAGTTGGATTACTGGGAAAAATAATTGAATTCTAATTAGGGCCCTGTCTTTTTGTCATTTTTATGAGGTTTACTTGACGAGAATACGGCCTGTTCTGAAAATGATTATAAACTATAAAAATAATATTTTGCGATTAAAATTTCTTTATGTCTGAATGCAAAACAAATTTCAGCACCTTCGTATGATTATTTTACCAATACTGAGCTCTACTGACCTTTATATTTTTAGTTCACATGACACAAAGTGTCGCCATCTAGTGTCGAATATATTTATTTATATTTGAAAGCCGACGCAAAAAGATTTTTCTAGAACTATTTTAATAAATTAGGTGTAAAATTATTTAGAAATGAAATGTGATGCCATCCATAACATCAGAGCGTCTATCTGAGTAGTTTTTACACAATAAAACACAACACTTCATCCTTTTCTTCTTAATACTACTAAAATACACCGATTTGCGATTTTTTCAACACATAAGCGCACAGGACGAATGCTGACAGTACATTAAGTAAAGCCACACCCACTATGATGACGTCAGGACCTACTTAGAATCACAGTGCACAGTTGCTTATGCCGTCTCCCCTTTGTATTAGCTTCATGCGAAAGACAAATGATGATGCAGTTCAAGTAAGTTACGAATGACTGCGTAAGCAATTATGAGGTGTTATCATTTTGATTGATTTTTTCAACATTTGATAACTTCCCAGTGATCAGAAGAAAAGTTGCCATTAACAAAATCGTGTATGTGGTTTTATCAATAATAAACTTTATTTATAATAATAAAATGTTACGTTTGCTACATGGTATTGACACTTGTAAAAATAATAATTTGAAAATGTGCATTTGGCAACCCTTAAAGCTCTGATACATCACTTAGGGATTATAATTCTGCTCATCATTAATAAAACACCCTGAAGGTAGATTATCCATTAGCATCATTATCGTCGTCGGGATTGCGTCGTCGCCAATCAAACCCTCCAGGTCGCACATTGGCTAATTCAGGAAGTGGAACATAATCTTGCTCTTCAGGAGCTGGATCGAACAGTTTTTTGCTAAAATAAAATATAATATAAAATAATAATAAATTATAAAAAATCTATAATAATTGTAGTTAATTACAATTCCTGAAAATCAATTAGAGCCAAATAAGTAAAATTTATAAGTGACTAGAGGTAGTTTCGGGTCTGGTTGCATAGCGATTGACATCATGTCTTCATTTTTACTGCATTCAAACCTTACCTTACCAAGGTTAGTAGCAATTGGTAGGATAGGACCAGGTGTCACTATATATAAACTAAAAACTGTGGTAAGTACAATAATATATTGTGAACATAATATAGTTGCAGCGTTGCTCTACCACGTAAAAAACGCACAAAAACCACCATTTCGTGGTAGAGTCATGCTGCAGCTATATTAGTAGTATAGTGGTAATGCAGATGGCATTTTGATTCGCAAACGAGGACAAATGTAGATGTCTATGGGCCACAGCAACCACTTACCATCAGGTAGACTGTGTGGTCGTTTGTCACCCTATCCTATAAAAAAAAAACTTAAAAAAAGCTACACACCAACAGATTCGTAAGGGTCGATCGGCGGGCAAAATCGTTGTAAATTGAATCGTACACAGAGGAGCGCATGTACACATAGTTGTTGCCCATAAATTACATTAAATTTGGGATAATTTCAAATAAAAGTAGAAGCCTTATTTACTCGTATTTTCAAAAACTGCAATAACGGTATTTCATTATTTATATATTTGAACTTGAGTTTGAAATTCTACTCTTTGAAAAATAACCCCGTATAATTAGTACTCAGTTATGATTCATTCATATTTACAAATGTTAAATATTATTTAATGTTATACAAATGTAAAAGTAAATTCGGTTTGAAAACGTCTAATTAGTAAGAATAGAAAACAAGTGTTCTCAAAAGGAAACAAACGCCGGCGTTATACGACGGCGGATTGACAAAAAACTATCTATTAGCGAACTTTTTTTATGCATGAACGGTTTCAAACTGTTTCAAGCAAAAATAAACCTTATACCATATCACAAGAGCACATGGTACTTCGTAGGTCTATTCGGCGATATGATAGTAATAAGACGGCAGTTCAACCATTTTAAGCAAAATTAAACAATAAGACAAACGCATTTTTTTTAACAGGATACCTGTTTTCCAGAAATTTATTTACAACTTGAGTTTGTGAGCGATCGCAATGAGTGCTATTATTTGTTACTTATTAGACTATTTTTCCACAACATGATTGAAAACCCACAAAGTAAAAAGAGTACCATGTACAAGTTAAAAAATGTTGTCAACCCCTAAAAATTTCAAATTTTTAAAATATCCAGAAACGAAGCTGAAGGCATGAACTACTTGCAAAATAATGAATGTTTTGTTCTGGATAAATTTTCCATAAACGCAATTTGAGCGAGATATAACGATTTTTAAAAAGACACGACTTGTGTGTCATACGCCACACATAAAAGTAATCGATGGCACGCCTGGCGTGCCATCCGCACTGAACCGGTTAATCGAAGATAAAAAAAGATAGTGGACTGTGTGCTCGTTTGTCACCCCATTCTATAAAAAAAGTATAATAGTAGGCATTAGATATTTATGAATGACAATTAGTAAAAATAATGCATTATCACACATTTTGAATTTAAAAGTTAAAAAAGCCATAAATTTTGAGATTTTTTTAGTTAATTTTTGTTTACCATTTGCCTATATTACTTATTCTGAACATTCTCTGCAAATTAGGCCGGTTATTGCAAAATAACCCTATATAATTAATATGATTATTTCGAAGTACTATATTAATATTTGTATTAAAATGAATATAAAACATAATTATTCCTATAACCTGACTCAAAATATATGTTATAATTAATGTATATATTTTTATATCAAGTATATATAAGTCTGAATATAAATTATTAATATTATTATATAAAGGGACAATAACTCACAGAAATTGTGGTGTTTTCAACAGTTTTTGACCTCCTCTTTGTCGTGGAAGAACATCCTCCAGGAAAAAATATACATGTCCAATTGCCATTCCGACCAAATCTACAGATATTGCATTACCAAGTAAAACAGAAAATCCTAGTAGCACCCAAGGAAGGTATGGAGCCTGTAAAATGTAATGATCGAAATGATTGTTATGTAAACTACAAAGATTTTAAATAATTACATATACACATTTTTATACAAATACCTGAAAATTCATAAGGCCAAAGAAGTTCATACGAACAAATACATTCCGACGTGACCACACATATACAATCATTATTGTGAAAGCTTGTCCTAAAAATAATAAATTAACAAAAAAGGCAGACAGCTGTATGAGTTATGTAAGGTAAAATACATTGTTTAGGCTCCTTGAAGTTTCAAATACAGATACATTCGTAACAAAAGGTGGTGTGGTTCTGTTTTGATTTTAGGTCTTATTTCAGAAAATCAAATTAATTTCATTTTTTTAAAGATGAAAAGTGATATATATTATACCTTTTGAAGTCTAGGATAAATGCACCACCGTTTTGCACATATCTTCACTTTGCTTTCAATGTGTGCAAAACTGTGGGTGCCAACTTGCCTACCAAGTGTGGCAACTAGGGCAAATTATGCAATCTATGGGGCAAGCTAAGTCGGAAGCCTATGTTTAGCAGTGGAGTTTTGACTTTTAGGCTGTAATGGTAAGATACCACAACATGCTGAAATTACTTTTTTATAATTATACACAAACAATAAAAATATAAAGGATACAATCATAAGGACTCCACTGAAGATAAACATTACGACAAAATCAGCTGTTCTTCCCCTAAATGATCCCTCTTCCAACATTCTACAATATCTATATGTAAATATCATATTAAAGAAAAAATTAAATCCTAAGTTCCCAAAGAAAAGGAATGTTGTTATTAATCTCCATAACTGGAACTTTTTCAGTATTAGATTTGGATTGAAGTAAAGTTGAAAAGGTGAAACAAGGTCTAGTTGCTGAAATTAGAAAAATAAATCTGCTTTATTTACATTTACTATCAATCAATTTTGTTAGTTAATTTGCTAACTTTATACTTAAAAAGATGCATGCAAGATATTATTTTGGAGTACAATGCAATTAATTGAAATACTCACTACAGCTAATGTTGTGATAACACAAGCAGTCGTGTAGGCTCTTGTCACTGGGGGTACAAGCATATATTCTTGGAATAAAGTCTGATAAGCCATTGTTGAATAAATAAAGACTATGGACAGTTTACTTTAACCACATATTATACAAGATATTGTTTGTTTGCCTTATATTCCTATTTCGTTTAGTACCTAGTAAATGAAATTTAAATGATTGCGATTGGACCACATCACAACACATTTTTTTAATAACTGGCTTTACGGCTCTGGGTTCTAGCCCTTCCACAGACTACTTAGTGGATACTTCGTATAGCCCTTCTGAGCTTGAAGCAAAGAGTATAGTAACTGTCCTATACAGGAATTTCTTATCCGCATCGGCATTTTTACCCAACCCCCACGTTAAAAATTTTATTTCTCATAAATAATACAGTATAGAGATCTAACTTTTATTATGTAAAAATAAAGGTTATATCGATAAAATTACTCGTGGATAGACGTTTACATCACTACTAGAATTCTCCTATGTTGCAGCACTATTTGTCAAAAATTAAATGTCATGTGTTGATGTTGGTAGTGTAGCTTGGCGCTCATTCATACATTTACTTTTTCTTAGGAAATCCCGCCTCTTATAAAAGTTTTATTCTCTTTGCACACTACCAACTGTAACTTGATAGACTTTTTTTTTTAAACTGGTTTTACAGCTCTGGGTACTAGCTCTTCTAAGCCTTTGATAGACTCCGTTCTATCATTTGCACAGAGTACCTTTATATTCTGTTAGCTCATCCATCACTATACATCGTATGACATTGCAATCAGCTTCACAGATTAATAAATTATAAAATAACTCCGGTATTTGTTTATAACTAGCTTTACGGCTCTGGGTTCTAGCCCTTCTGTACCTGAAGTTACAATGTATAATTATCCTTCATAGTACACTGCTTCACAATATGTTGTTGCGTCACATTGTGCAGCCCTTGGGGATTTCGACGGCAACTTGAGCCAGCAGACAGCTGACAGCTGGCGGTGATATCTCAAGGCACCAAAGCAGACACACCTTATCTTGATAATCACATCTCCATCAGATCACTTGTTTCACCGTTTCTACTAATAGTTCACATGCGCAGACACTTAATACACAAGATCGCACCACTTTTACATATCAAAATTCACTTGAAGCCATTATTTAAACAATAATACAAGAGTAGCAATTCTCCACCGTTCAAGTTCCCACCAAAACTCCTTAAATTAGGTATTATACTCAACCTCATCTAAGAAATACCTTTTGACGTTTCACACTAATTATTCCGCAATAATTTTGTACAAGCGTACTAATATGATTTAAAATAACCTTTAACGTAAATCCATAGAATTATGAAGCTATCAATATTTCATTACATGTGTATATATTTTAGATATGAGCGCCGAAAGCCAATTCCACGGCGGCGGCGGCGTCGCGGCGGAGCGGCGTGGTCCTTAGATATTTTTTTAAAGGAAAAAAATTCTTAAAAAAACTTAAAGGAAACCATTTTGTTGTTACCAAACACAGCTTTATATTTTTAATAAAGCCCGGGGAGCCCCAGCCCATAGATGGCCATACCTGTGATACTGTTACGAGCTTGGGGTTCGAGACAATTAAAAACTGCCGATTGAATTACCAAAATTGACACTTTAATTACACAACACTAATTACCATCTAAAATCACACTAATAATAAAACACAGTTCACCGTTATTTCGCTTCGAAGTATTCTCTTGTATCGCCAATTCAATACTGCCCCGGTCGTGGTCTATACCGGCCTTATATAGGGCCTCAGATAGTTTCCAGAACCTTCTACTGTAGCGACATCTAGAATGTTCGAGTACATATCGGTCCCGAAATTTCTGGAAGGATCTCGACTCTCCTAGTTCTGCTACTCGACACTAGAGGGCGCTAGTGTAACTAGTGTTGCCATGTACAAGACATTAATAGTGGCGCGCAATACTTTCATTTACTCGACACTAGGGGGCGCTAGTGTAACTAATGTTGCCATGTACAAGACATTAATAGTGGCGCGCAACACTGCCCCCTCCTAAGACATGCTCGTCCCGAGCATTATTGGCCCCATAATAACGCGCCAGTCGATCCACATGGACAATCTTAGGAGTACCTCTGGCACCTTTCTGTATCCGGTAGGTTACATCATTGATCCTTGTCACAATCCGGTACGGTCCGTCCCATTTAGCTTGAAGCTTAGGAGATTTCCCTTTGCTGCGAACTGGATTGTGTAACCACACTAGTAAACCTTCATCAAACCCCTTGTTGTTCATTTTGCGGTCATACCGTGTTTTCATCTTCTCAGACGTTTGCTGGCCCGTCTGTCTGACGTGCTCATAAATGTCATTCATTTTGTTCTGCAAGTAATTTGCATAATCGGTTATACTGCGTGGGGCATCAGGTGGTATTCCGGTGATCAGGTCTGCAGGCAGCCGTAATTCTCTCCCAAAGTTTGCGAAAGCTGGCGTCACTGACGTACTTTCGTGAACAGCGCTTCGATATGACAACAAAAACGGTTGTATGTGCCTGTCCCAGTCTCGTTGCCGTTTTTCCACAACTTTTGCCAGGTACCTTTCCAATGTCTGATTAAATCGTTCTACCATTCCATCAGATTGTGGGTGGTAAGAAGTTGTTCGTGTTTTATGAGTACCCATAACTCTGCAAGTTTCCTGGAATATTTGAGACTCGAAATTCCTTCCTTGATCGCTGTGAATTTCTAAAGGTACTCCAAAACGACAGAAGACTTCATGAACTAGTTTATCTGCAATTGTTGAAGCTTCTTGATTTGGAATGGCGAAGACTTCTGGCCACTTAGTGAAGTAATCCATCACAACCATGAAATACTTGTTACCACTTTCACTTTCCGGAAACGGCCCCGCAACGTCAATGGCTATCCTCTCCCATGGTGCACCAACATTGTACAATTTCAATGCGCCTCTACTACGAATTTGAGGTCCCTTTACAGCCGCACAACTTGTACATTTGCGGCACCAGTCCTCGACATCGTCACGACAGTGGACCCAGTAAAACCGTTCTCGGATTTTCAGTAGAGTTCGTTTAACTCCCAGGTGGCCTCCTGAACAACCACTATGGTACAGCTGTAGAACATCCGGTACTTTAGCCTTAGGGACAACCATTTGCAAATGACAACTGTCTCCCCGACCATTTTCCCATTTACGGCACAGGACTCCATCCTGAATCAGCAAGCTGTCCCATTGGGCCCAATAGCTTTTCGTGGTCGAACTCATTGCTGAGACGTCGCTCCACTTGGGCTTAGGAGCACTGGCCTTCATCCATTCCAGAATCGGCTTAATATCCGAATCTTCCTGTTGTGCATGTTGTAGGCTGTCCTTCCACTCATTGCTGAGCTGGTCTGTCCTGAGCATCCTCACAGATACCACTTCCTTACCCTCTTGCCTAGTACAATGCTTGCAATCTTCAGGGCAAGGTCTTCTTGACAATGCATCTGCATTGCCATGAGATTTCCCGCAGCGATGTTCGATCACAAAGTCGTATTCCTGCAGTAGTTCAATCCATCTCGCAACTTGTCCTTCCGGATTTTTGAACTGCAATAGCCATTTCAGTGCAGCATGGTCAGTTCGTTAGTGGAATGTCCGCCCTAGAAGATATTTGCTAAAATGCTGCAAGGACTTTACCACAGCAAGCAATTCGCGTCTTGTGACACATTAGTTCCTTTCCGGCTTTGACAATGACTTGCTGAAGTACGCTATCACAATCTCTTGGTCACCATTCCGTTGAGACAACACACCGCCAAGTCCTATATCACTTGCGTCTGTGTCAACTATGAATTCCTTGCCCGCATCAGGGTACCCCAAAATAGGTGTTTTGCACAGACGGTTCTTGAGCTCCTGGAATGCAGTATCGCAACTTTCATCCCAGCAGAAATGTCGCTTCTCCTCGGTTAGCTTGTGCAGAGGTTTGGCTATATCTGCAAAGTTCTTCACAAATCGCCGATAATAAGAGCACAAACCCAAAAATGCTCTAACCTGTGTCTTGTCTTTTGGAACCGGCCATTCCTTGACAGCGGCAATTTTTTCTGGATCCGTGCGGATACCTTCTTCCTACACTACATACCCCAAAAAACTAACTTGCCGTTTGAATAGTGAGCACTTCTTTGGACTCAACTTGAGGTTGGCACTCTGGATCTTCATGAGCACGCGTTCCAGGTTTTGAAGGTGTTCCTCAAACGTACGGCCTACGATGATGATGTCATCCAAATAGACCAGACAGGCATCTCCAATTAGCCCGGTAAGTACAAGCTCCATCAATCTTTCAAACGTTGCTGGAGCATTGCACAATCCATACGACATGACTTTAAATTGCCACAGACCCTTTCCTGTGGAGAATGCAGTTTTCTCCTTGTCCTTAGGGTCAATTTCAACCTGCCAGTAGCCACTTTTCAGGTCCAGCGTACTAAACCACTTTACGCCTGTAAGCATGTCCAGCGTGTCATCAATTCTTGGCAAGGGATAGCTGTCCTTCTTCGTAACGTCGTTCAGGCGGCGGTAGTCAACACAAAACCGCATGCTGCCGTCCTTCTTCTTTACCAGCACCACAGGTGAACACCATGGACTAGATGAAGGTTCAATAACACCATCCTTCACCATACCCTCAATCATGGTTTCCACTTCCTTTTCACGTGCTACAGGCAATCTTCTTGGCCGCTGACGAATAGGCAATTCTTGTCCTGTGTTTATTTTGTGTTGAACTAAGCCAGTCTTTCCTATGTCAGCTTCGTTTGACGAGAAAACATTGGCGTACTTGAGTAACAACTTCTTCGCCTTGACCATTTCATTCGGGGAGAGAACGCTGCGACAGTCTTCTAAAAGTGTGGTCACTCTCGTTTGTCCATCCTTGCTGAGGGTCCCAGTCGATAGATATTGGCACCGACGCAACCAATCCACTTCCTCACTAGTACCAACCAATGTGCCTTTTTCTATAATCTGTTCCTGATCACAAAGGTTCAGCACACGTACTCCTGAGATGTCGGTGGTTCTGACCAAGGTTCGAGCCACTATCCATGGAAGGTCATTGTCTACCCTTTC